GGCTCCGGGAAAGATTTGCTAACCGCTCGCTCCACGTCAGGCCGGTGCCAAGTGCTGGGAAATAGAGGAGACACAGCTTTCCTGGGAGAGAGAAAGAGCTGGGGGGTGATGGGGAGGTAGTTCCCTCCCCAGATGACAGGGCATGACTGGGTCCTGCTTCCCTGCAGCTGGCACAGTGATTCAGAGACCCTCAGGACAGTTGACTCCTTCTCACTCCCACCTTCACGTGGCCAGGTTCCCAGACAGGAGCAGCACATGGCTGCGCTGAGGGAGGGAGGGAGGATACGTCCCTATTAATCTTGCCTAGAACTTCATCCCTATAAATGACTGATGGGTCCCCTCCCCACTCCCTCCTTTCTTCCCACATTTGAGGGCGGCACCCACACCTGAAACTATGCAGGACGCTGGGGCTCAGGTACCCTGAGGCGCCCCAGGCAGTTATATTAGAATCTCACCATGTAGCTGGACACAGACTGCTCATCTCCGGTTCACTGATGGTGACAGGGGCGTTCAGGGAGGTTAAGGGACTCATGTGAGGCCTCGAAGAAAAGGTGCCAGAGCCAGGGCTGCAGCCCCGGTCTTCAGGGTCCTGGGCTAAGTGCCTCCCACCCACGCCCTGCCAGTCAGGGGATCCAAAGGCCCCAGCTGGCTGGCCCAGGAGGGTCACTTTTAAAGAATTCATGAATATGCATCAGGCAGCAGCACTAGGGATGTTCTGGAGCTGCCCGCCCATTGCCCATCAGAGGCTGCACAGGCTCCAAGGACTAGCCTAGAAGAAGAGGGTATTTCCCTGAAGGGCCTCTGGAAGGGAAAGTAACTTTAGCTCTGGGGGGATCCAGGCTTGGATCTCCTCCCTGTTGACCCCTTGGCACTGCCCTCTCTTGCCCATCCATGGTTTTGGCTTCTTTTCCCAGGAGCCTCTTGCCTCCCCCTTTTCTTTAAGAGCACTTGCAAATCCCACCAAACTGTGCCCTCTCACCGCACAGACTCAAGCACACGGCCTCTTAGTGGTGAGACACGTCTGAACTGTAAACATCTAGTTACTTATTTGGCATTGATTCCCAGGCCTGTCTTCCAGGGGAACAAGGTCATTGCCAGTGCCTGTAGTCAATCAGCGATGTTTATTGAGCACTTACTGGGTGCCGAGCACCATGCTGGGGGCTACCGGACACACTTAGAAGCAGGCTGTGGTCCCTGGATCAAGGCGTTTACAATCTAATTCAAGGGGACAGGAGGAAAGATACACGTGCAAAGGCCACAGCCTCAGCCAAGACTTGTTTAGGAGAGAGGATGGG